CTGGGCTGCACCCCAGTTCCGTGTGCATAAATAAATAAATCTTTTTTAAAAAAAAATAGTCTATCTGGCCGTCCAAAAATAGATGGCTGCATTAAAAAGATGTGGTATGTCTATGCGGTGGAATATTACGCGGCCGTGAAAAAGATGAGCACGTGTGTTTTGCGGCAGCAAAGGCGGGGTGGGGGGCCCCCGAACGCTCCCACGTGGCCACAGAGACCCCCGCGGGGCTCCTTACCTTTGTAGAGCGTCTTGGGCACCTGGCAGGTGTGCCCACAGCCGTTGGGGCAGCACTTCTTCACGCCCGAGCACTCGCCGTCCACCTCGCAGCTCTCCACGCAGGCGGCCGCGAAGCCGCTGGCCCTGTTGGGCGCCGGGCAGCCCCCCTGCTTCACCGACAGGATGTACTTGAGGAACTCGCAGCTGGTCAGGCACTCGTAGTTCTTCTTGGGGGACAGCGTCTGGGGAGAGCGGGCACACACGGTCAGAGGCCATGATCGTCCCCCAGCAAGGGCGTCTGCGCGAAGCCCCGGGGGGACAGGGCCCGCCAGTTCTGAGCTCACGGGTGAGGGTGGCGCCCTCCGAGGCTGCCGCTCCCCGTGCAAAGCGCTGCCAGGCGATCGGCTCTTCGCAGAGGGTAGAGACGGCTCTCCACACCCGGCCGTACCTGGTGACGGTGGCGACACCTGGACACCCCGGGGAGGCCTGCCCACACGCTGCCTGTTGTGCTCACTCAGGCCTCGAGCAGCGGGCGACAGGTGATGCCCTGTGGCGACACCGGCTGTTACCTGGAACACCCGGGCAACACCTGGAACACCTGGACACCCCAGGTGAGGCCTGCCGGCTGCTCGCTGCCGACGGAGTCTGGCCCCGTGCTCGGGAAGCAGACGCCGGGGAGCCTGGCGCCGAGGCAGGGGTGACGAAGGTGGAGGCGCTCACCTGAGCGTGCAAACAAGGGCAAGGTGTGCCAGCGACAGGGAGGGGGAGGGAGAGAGAGAAACGCTGCCAAACCCTTCTGCTGCCACAATCATCAGCATCCTCAACATCACAACCATCACCGCCGCCACCACCATCAACACAACCATCATCATCGCCACCACCATCACCACCACCATCACCATCACCATCATCACCATCATCACAACCATTATCATCACCATCATCATCACCATCACCAGCATCATTAC